AATGACAGCCTTACTTATAATACCAAATTATTTTATTTATACTTCTTCTCCTCAGACTAAATTTTTCCATACGGGAAGGTCAGTGAGGATTTCTTAAGCAAGAAGGATGTGTCATGCGTCTCTTGTCCCCTTCTCATGTCCCCCAGAGAAGGACAGGGCACTTGTTAGTAGAATGATGCATCAGCTGTTATCACTTCTGGCTGAACAGCCAAGCATCTCAAAGCAGTCCAGATGACAATCTCAGCTGTAGATGGATAACACTGCAGTCTGGACCTATTTGGTATTTATTTGTATTTTTATCATTAAAACCTGAGTTAGTGGTTCCACATGTAGCTGAAATAAGTGATGGAACCTTCACCTGTTCCATTAAATCAATCCTGGGTTTAACTTTGAACAGGTCTGTCATTTTAACATTACATGGCAAATACTGAACGTCCAGTCCAGACAGACATGGTCTGTAAATAGCATCAAACTTGTACCATTAACCAGAACGGCAGACTGCAACCCAAGGGCAGTCGCTCATTACTCACATATTACAGGTGTACAGGAAGTTGAGCTTGATTAGCTATACATTTCGCTTGTGGTAGAAAAAAATATATAAATCAAATGTTCCTTTTTCTAAAATTAGGCTAACCCTTGTACCGCTCCTGATTAGGATGAGGTCATCTGAAATGTCGTTCCAACGTCCTCTTAAATCCAGAGCAAGAAGCAGTTCCTCTATTTTCGGCTGAAGTCTCATCTATTATTAATAAATAAATTACACTCTACGGTCTGAGCCTTATGTTACTTGTTATTGGCTCCTGTTTATTATGAGAGATGTTGGTTTTGACTGTTGTTGGCACTTTGTTGTCCGCTCGCCTGGTGTTTGTTTGTTGATATCCTCAATATTCTTCCGGAGCCAGTGAAAAGTGAAACTAATTTCTGCTGCACACACGGCCTGACTTCCCCGTGTAATAACCCTGCGACACACACAGCTCGGTGCATCTTCCAAAAATCCAGCAGCATGACTGGGGATGAATAATTCATCAGTCAGCATCAAGTGAGCAGTCACACTGTTGCTCCTCCTGCTGCTCTCATGACTGTATTTTTGGACTGATGTTAATATGGCTGGACTGGACCATCACCCAAACTCCCAGCCAATGGATGCTTTTTTTTAACTATGCTACACAATATTAAGGTCAAGGATGCAAATATGGTTTGGATCCTTAAGCCTGTTAAATAACTCTCCCTTTTTTTATTCTTCATTGAAACCGTGTTTTTGTTTAGGATTAGCTGAGCATGCTCCAGTTTGTAAACTCTTCTCCTTAAGCAGGAGACAGAGCCTATGTCAGCAGTCCTCAGTCTCAGATAGGGTGTCGTTAAAACCCGCAGAGCCCCGTAAGCTGCTTCTGGATGTGTGAATGGACTGAGTCCCTTTGTAAAAACAACACAGGGATTAATGTGACAGAGACCAGGCTCTGAATCCTCTCCACAGTATGTCGGAATCATTTTCTCTCATTCACTAAGACTTAATTTTAAATTCAAATTGTGTTGTCATCACGTCTCTGTGAAACGTCCAAGGTTGGACATGACGATGTTGCTGTGGATTTGTGTTTAAGTTGTAGTTGAGCACCAAATACCTTATGATGGTCCCGGATGGACTCGACTTGACATTAATGAATAAACCAGTGGCTGGATGAAGTGATTGGATGATTGCCAATGGCAATAAAATAAAAACACAGACTGAGGAGCCCAGTCAACCAAGCTCTGTTTGTGTGGGTGGAGGTAGGAGTGACAACTTTTTTCCAACAGAACCCTCATTGCTTGTTTAAGTCTCTTTCATCTGTCTGGTGTCTTCTGATGTCCTTTGATCCAACGCACCATCTCAGCCAAGACGTGTGATGTGTTTGGTTCTTGCCTTTTATGTAAATGCGATATTTAAAAACAGAAACTGATCAACAAATGTGTAGCGATATTTAAAAACAGAAACTGATCAACTCTGGTTCTGATTTCTTTATGTCACTGTTACTGCCAACATGTTTGCTTTGTGTGTGCACCAGCTATTCTTCCAGTAATCTGCGAAAGCCATAGGATTAAAAAACAAGTAAAATCTCACTTGAAAACATTTATTTATAATCCCAACAAAATAGACAAAAAAGCATCAAAGAATGAATAAAATGTCTGTTTTCTTCCCTCTCATTATGCAAAAAGGGAAAATTGGTTGGTGCTGCCTTTCAGAAAAAGGATCACAATTTTGCAGGTTCAACCCAGGTCTATGTGTATTAGTGTTTACATGTTGTCCCTATGTGTACTTGGCTGTGTATGTGGCTCTTCTCACAGTACTACAGTCTCTCAGTACTTACGTTTACTCACACAGTCCAATACCACAGTATTAGGATAATTGGACTAAGATATTAGTGTGAGTGTGAATGGTTGTTTGTCTCTGTGATGGACTGGTGGAACTGTCCTGGGTGAACGTTGGACTCACCTGGTGACTGCTGGGATCAAGTGGAAAATGATGATGAAAGAATGAATCAAATGATCTTGTCTGATTTCTTGGGCTGGTTGTTTTGGCTGTAAACAAAAATGTAAGTTAGAATATCGGCCATGCTGGACCCTGTTGGGCCGAGCTCCACATGTTGCATTTGGGACCTACACTGCCTATTTTGAGTTCTTTTAACTTTATGCACAGTGAACTCAATACTATCACTCACCAAACAGAGTTTCAGCTGCAAGAAAAAGGGGAAAATAATATAACGAATGATGAACGGCTAAAACTGTAGGGAGTTTGCCTCCAGATGTTGTTTTCTGTTTCCAGCCCGTTTCCCTCATGTGAGGTTTCGAGTGAAGATTTGTCTTTATGAAACCCTTCTATCAATAGAGCGTATGAACATGAAAGCAGAGGACGTGCGCTGACAGAGCTTCAGATCTAAATGCAGATTCAGAGCGCTCGCCGTGGACGCGGTGACAGAGCTGGAACAGAGGATCGGCTTCAGACTGTCAGCGTTATTGTACAGCACTGATGTCAGTGAAGGACTTCTCTATGTATCAGTTAAGACTTTATATACATAAACAACCTTTTTTTCAAGTAAAATAAAGGCTTAAAAAGGTGTGATAATAATAACTTTATACATACAGTAGATCTGAAATGTTTTTGTGATTTTTTTAAATAATTATTTCTGTTAGATTCAACCAATAAAATGGACCTGTTCTCATGTTGTAATGGAAGAAATTAGTGCATTTAGGGTTAGTATTATTATTTAATGAACTTATTTGTTATTTGTTATTGTATTAATAAGATGTTCCTTTCCGTTTTCACTGGAAATATCTGTGATCCATGCCCCGTCATCAGTCTGTGAATCAGTGAACAGACGTAGCTTGTCCACCGGTCTAGGATCGATTTACTCGTTCTCATTTTACTGCTAACTGGATCAGAGTGACTTAACTAAAGGGCACAGACCCAGACACAGAGAAAGTCATCTGGATTATTATCATGGTGCCATATTGTTTGCTTTGCCTTTGTTCTTGCCATTCAATCCTGGTCAAAATAAGGGGACAGCAAACGTCAGAGCAGCTGTCCTGTGGAGCTGTACACATCCAACAACTTTGTGCCTAAACCTTAGAGTTGATGTTTGGTACCAAGTTGAGACCCATGATTTGATCCTAAAATAATATTAAAACTGGGAAGTCCTTCCTTATATGGTTATATATTCCAACTAAATACTAAGAGATGGATGCTTCATATGTAGTTTGGTCAGACTGCCCTCTGGACATCCAGCCTCATTACTCACACTTGTTTAGATGCCTTTACTGCCACTAGGACAGTATGTCCTCTGAGTAGTAGAAGTATCAAGAAAAAGTTCGGCTACTTTCATCCTCCGGGGGTTTTTTAATGTATGTTTATTCGATCAACTCCTTTAAAGCTCACTGCTTAGATTTTTCTTGAGAATTTTTTTCGAGGCCCCTGGTATTAAATGGAACTGGTTGTGTCACATGGTTGAACCCCGGGGCTGTACAACATCCAGTCATTGAAGCTTAGATGTTTCTGCCCTGTCTGTAATAGTACTGTGAATCAGAACCCTGAAGCGTCATATAAATTTGACTGTATATTATGGTTACAGTCGTACTACATTTTAAATGCATCAGTGCTAATTGGATGCACATTCAATAAGTTCCCTTACAACTGGATGTGGAAACTGCGTTTCTTGAGTCCTACTTATATAGAAACTTGATCAGACCTTCTTCTGATGGACCTGCTGTGCATAAGAAGCTATGATAAAGGGAATGAATCGTGGATTGGAAAATAGTTGGGTGTTCTTCTGCCCATGAACAGCCCTAATACATGTTAATATATATTTTTTCGCAGGGTGCCACCTGATGGAGATGCATCGCCCACAACCCCCGGGTATTCAGACGGGCCTTCTGGTGCTACGGGTGGAGCTGGTGCTATTGCTTCTTCATCCACCCTGTCTTTGCCTATGAACCAGGGTAAACCTTCTCTGCGTCGCATCAAGGGCCGCATCCATCGCAGCAAGAGCCTGGACAGCCTCGATCTGCTGGACAATGTGAGTCTGGACACAGAACCTGCACATTTGATAAACACTCTTCACATGTTCAGACTGTTGAACCGAATGTGTTTCATCTTTGGCACACATTTCAAGTGGCAACATAAGTTTTTTACTCTAGTGCAGGGGTGTCAAACTCTTGGTTCGGGGCCCACATACAGCCTGATTAGATGTCAAGAGGGCCGGACCAGTACAATCATAACATAATTACCTGTAAATAACAATAGGTCCATGTTTTTCCCCTTTGTATTCATGCAAAGAAGTACATTAGAAGTATATTAGAAAATATTTATATTTAATGAAATATAATTTCATTTAAATCATGGACATAAGGTGTTTGTGCATTTTTTTCCACTTTATATTTATCTCAAGGGTGCCAGATTGAACCCTCTAGCGGGCCAATTTTGGCCCGGGGCCGTATGTTTGACACCTCCGCTCTAGTGGTATATTTGAGGTTAAAATTTGCAGGAGTCTCAGTGATTCACACACAGGCCCCACATGCACAGATCTGACGATCTTCCATTACGCAATATTGCATTGTGTTTCAGACGAGCACAGTCTTACTCTGACCATATGTCTGTCTCCGCCTCTGTCACCGATTCATTGTCATGTGAAGGTTTTAATCTGATTAAATGATTGGATAAGCTGCTTGGACCTAAAACCCCAACTGACACTGGGATGGTCCATTCAGCCCAGAATTGCATTTGGCCCATTCAGTTCACTCAGGTCTCCTTGTGTTTTTTGAGTGACTGATGTGGCTTTGGGGACCAGCAGAGGAACACTTTACAGTATAAAAGCACAGCAATCTGCTGCTAATGTAAGCTTGTAAAACGGATTAGATGTTTTACTCCCTCTCAAGTCTTTTACTTGCGTAGATTGTCCTCTAATAGATGTTCAAAGTGTGTCTGTCTCCTTTCTTTGTCAACATTCAGCATCCTGTGTGAGTCTCTGTGTGTGTTCGTCCTAATTGGCAGCTGGCTGGTGTGACTGTGTAAGTGGTCATTATTTTCTCCCAGCCTGCGGTCAGAGCAGAAGAGTACTCAGTATGATTAAGTGTAAAAGAGGCAGCATTTGCAGCTCAAACTGGTAAATCTATTATTGATGTCAAGGAGCGTTAAAGGTGGACTGAGGAAGTCACATGACCATAGTAACACTTGGCTCTTTTCAAACTGGATGACGCAATACAGAACAGGTGACTGATGACGGAGTCGGTCAAAGATACTCATGACTCAGTCATTGCTGTGCACCAGTCTGTGCTTTGGATTTACTGCTGGATTAAAGTTCTATTCAATGTCTAATTTTGAGACAGAAATATCTCTCTGCCCGTTTCAGAATTAAACAAAAGAAGATAAAGATAAATTTTTTTTGGCCTCACATTTTCCAATTTTATTGGATTTAAAAAAATCTTTTTATAATGATTAACTGGTTTGGAAACATCTGAGTTAAGCTAACGTTGCTAACAGGTGAGGAACAGGAAAACATGACTTTTACTTTGAAGTTTAAAAAAAAAATTCAATAACTCAAAATGAAAAGAAAAAAAAAAATAAAAATAACCATTAGATTTGATCTGGCACTTGAAGCAAAACATCAGCTACAGTACCTCAGTGTTGCACAATTCCATTTGCTTCCTTTGCTTCCCGTGATTTTCTCAGGCATGCATAATACATGAGTGGAAATGATCTACTTTATTTTTTCATTTACTTCCTGCTGCTGTGTGTTGACAGTATCTGTGCGACACGTGTGAAGAGAGAATCCAAAAAACGATGTGTTTAAACTGTTCAAACATACCTGGGAATGTAGATATTATTAATGCATGACAAACTAATAGTTCCTCTCCAGGAACTGATGCAGATCCTGACTTTGAAGACTGATTATTTTCCACATGGACAGAGGACAAGTGCATGTCCTCTGTCCATGTCCAAGTGCTGAACTGAGCTCAGTCCACAGTGTTGGACAGTTGGTTAGTTCTCAGTGCTGTATTATCATGTTGTTTCTTTAGGATACCATCAAACAGACATTACTATGCTAGACAGGTCTGAGTTAGCTGTTGGTAAAACCCAGTATGGATCTGCTGTTTGGTTACATAAGGGGAGAAGCTTTGGATATGCTTCCAAAAAAGCAAAAAGTTGAATTCAGAAACATACTGTATTTAGAGTCATGAGTCCTCAAGGTTCGCCTTAGCCACAGTGAGGCACTGTTGTCTCCTGGGCGGGTACAAAGCTGTTGTGAAGGGGCAGAGGGCAGCAGGGCAAAGTCATGCCATTTTTACACTAGTGCTTAATACAGTATTCGCTGCACAGTTTGCTTGTACACTACTACTAAGTACTGTAATGCTCACGTGTGCCCTAACTAATCCACCTGGAGATGGGGGTTTCAATCCCGAGTTAGCTCATTCAGATGCAAAGCCATAAAAACTACTATGCTGTGCAGATCACATGGTTATACGTGCGTTAGTCCAGCAATCATCGAAGTTAACGTGCACTGATGACCAAGATGTAGAAGATGACTCCGAAGACAAGAGATGAAAAAGAAGAAGACGTAGTTACAGCTGAAGTTCAAAGTCATCCTGTGGAACCATTAAGATGACATCACAGCAGAAAACAGCTTTGATAAACAAGTCGACTAAAAGCCTTTAAACTCCGCCGGATTAGTTTAGAACAGGGATTTTAGCCGATGTGGATCCGTGGTAGGAGTCGGGGAATCGAGAAAGAGGAGAGGCAACTGAAACAAAATCTACAGTCAGAAATGAAACAAGATAGATTAGCTTGAGCACTAAAAATAACACTGGATAACACTGTCAGTGTGTTTGATAAGTAGCCGGGGATTTATGAAGCATGCATCACGAGTCAAACACGAAGAAAATAGATGATTAAGAAAAAAAAAACAAAAAAAAAAACAATGATTCAAACAAACTTTCTCTCCAACATTACTTAGTGAATAACTATGTATTTACTTTAAGATACCAACTGTCAGTGACAGAATCATTTAACAAAACAGAGAGAATATTGAAATAAGGGAAAGGAAACGAAGAGTCGTCGGAGACAGCAGTTATTCAACAAAATGGATACGATTCACTATAAAAGACTGAAAATGAAACCAGAGAACATGGATTTATTAAAAAACACCTGCAATACTATGATGGACAACTACTGTTCCGTAGACGACCTGGATATAAAGCAGCTGGGGAGTGGAGATGGTCCACACAAATTCACCAAAACCGTGGTGAGTGGGGTAAATAAGTGGGCCAAACTGGCCGTCTCCATGCAGGCCTCGGGGGATGATAATTCCTCCGCTATCACACACTCTGTGTATGATGAGCTGCAAGAGGAGGAATTGAAGATTCAACATTTCTCAAAGAAACATGAGGAGGAAGAGATGGAGGAGGAGGATGAGGAGGAGGAGTACCCAGAGATAGATGAAGACATATACAGGAAGAACCTGATGTTTCTTGATATGGCCACTGTTCTATCCAGCCTCTCCACCATTCCGGAGGAGAGCGAGTTTTCCGTCTCCCCAGTCAACATTTTGGCTTCAAGATCTCCCTGCAAGTCCGCTCCTGCCGCCTTCCACGTGTCCAAAGACGGCGATGGGACCAAGAGAATGACCAGTTTACAAGCAGAGGACGACGAGGACTTGTTGGCGAAAGAGATCAAAACAAAGAAGGCATCGGTGTGGAGAAAGTGGCTTTGTGTGAGGTGGAAAAACAGAATCAATACACCTTTTCAGGAGGATGTGAAAGAGGAAACCCTCTTGCCTCCATTAGTCCCCTTCCCCACCACGGTGGAACCACCCCTGTGTGAGGTTGAAACTAAGACTTTACAGGAGAAGGAAAAGGAGCCGAAGAGGAAGTCCGTGTGGAGAGAGTGGTTTTGTGCGCGGTGGAGGACGAGGATAGACGCGCCATCAAATGTGGGTTTAAAAGAGGATTTGCATCCGGCACTGTTGGAAACGATAGTGGAACCGGTTCTGTCTGAAGATGAGAATTGTAAAGTGCAAGAAGATGAGCCCCAGAAGAAGAAGGAATCCATGTGGAATAAGTGGTTTTGTGGGAGGTGGAAGAGCAAGACGAATCAAGTTCCAAAGGGAAATGTGAAAGAGAAGCCCCTCCCACCTCCAGCAAAAATTGAAACGACGTTAAAAGCCTTACAGGCTGAAGAAGACACTAAAAGGGTGGAGGAGACAGAGAAGACCACCAAGAGGGAGTCCGTGTGGACCAAGTGGTTTTGGGTGAGGAGGAAGAACAGAATCACTCCACTTCTACAGGAAGATCTGAAGGAGGACACCTGCTGTTCACCTAATGCAGAACTGTCCAGTCTGAAGGCTGTTCTCTATGGATCCAGCAGTCGTGTCACCGAATGCAGAACCGTCCAGTCTGAAGGCTGTTCTCTATGGAAAACATGAAAGACAGGAACTGGTGTCAGATTGATTCCACAGCATTAGTCCTAATTTTGAAACGGCACTCTGGTCTTCTATCTGCGATCTGAAGATGAAACAGTTGCAGGAAAAATGGATTTGGGTTATTGAGTTATTGGGTTGAAAACACAAAATAAGATCATGAAGAGTATCCAACCACCAGACACCAACTGTCAAAACAAGACTGTTTTTTTTTAATGAGAACACTTTGTAAATAAAATACAATGAAAACCCAAACCTGTTTAGAAGCTGTTTTGTGGCTTAACGAATATAACTGACATTGTTTTATTTTCTATTTTAATTTGTTGTTAGCTTTAATAGCGTTCAGTATCAGTAGAAGAAGACAGGGCAGTGGGAGGAGCACGGAGCTTCTGTAACTAGACACTTGTGTTTGTGTTGCTTTCATCCTTGGTTTTGTGCCGGTTGTCTACAGTAATTATAGTAGTGCAATGGTCAAATCTGACCCTTTTTTGCAAAGGTAGTTCAGTGGAAATTGACTAGGGCAGTTAAAATGACCTTCTGTTTAGATTTTACTCTCGCTGAGTAATCAAAATAATTTTTAGAAATCAGAGCAAACATCCAAATTTTAACTAAACTTCAGTAGTAATTATTGTAATAAAATAATAATGTAAAAATGTATATTATGCAAAATATTAATATTGTAATTTTTATAATATAAATAAAGAGGCGTGGAACATTTTCCACACTGTTCAATGCATAACCAACTGGTTTGTTGTTGCAGTCTTTCATACCAGTGACTGTTTGTAATGTACTGCTTCCTCTAACACCTAGGATTGAAATGCATCATACAAGCCAGAGGTAACTTACTGCCACGGTGGGTGGTTTTCTCTTGATGGCATCGTATATCTACTAAAGTTAGTGTGTCTCCTCAAACGGTATCACACACAGTATATCACACACATATGTGCTAAAACCACATCCTCTCTCTAATGGCCTGGTCTCTGGCCTGCTCCACCCCAGGTAAAATAAAAGGCACGTATGTGAAAAGCAATTTTGTACTGTTGTGCCTTCAGAACAAGCAATAGAGCCGATGAAATATGGTGTGTCTGTTTAGCCTCTTGTCTGTCCAGCAAAATATATTCATCTAATCTGAACGCCCTGTGGAAATCTGTGCGACGATTCTCTCATCCTTCATACGGTCCATCCATGTCATAACCCCGGCTCCTCCATCACTTTTATCACCTTATTTTCAATGTCACTCTTTTCGGCTCTCCTACAGTGGTTTTGCCAAATCTGGTCTCAGATGTGATCAGATGAAGGTGGTCTCATTAACAATATGCTTTATGAGGTCATTTAAAAGCAACTGCCATCCTATCTTTTTTTTCTTTATCAGGTCATCTATTTATCAATACCATGTGGTTTCTGCCCATAACCTTTGACCCTTTTTCATTTTCTATATTACTCTAAATTAGGGGTGTCAAAGTCGTTTTGGTTCTCTGGACCAGTAATTAACTATAAATAAGTCCAGGTTTTTCTCCTTTGTTTTCATGCAAAGAAGTACAATCATATTAGATATTTATTATTATTATTCATTTATATTTAGTGAAATATAATTTTACATAAACTAACCCGAACATGAAGTGTTTTGTATTTTCTTATTTTCGAAAGTCATCAAGTGGGCCGGATTGAACACGATAGCGAGCCGGTTTTGGCCCACGGGCCATATGTTTATCGCCCATGCAAGAATTACTTGCAGTCCTCATGTTGTTGTAAGAAAAGAGAGAAGGGGGAGAAAATGCTTATTTCTTGAAGACGCCTCCAAAAACATTCTATCTGAAACTCCACACAGAGCTGGGACATAAAACCATGAGGTTTCGGTCTTGAGGCAGTAACAATTTTTTTCCAACTGTAAAATTGCAAATTTATGAAGCTGCGCTGTGAAAAACTGTGATCTTGTACTTTGTACTTTCCTCTCATCAGTTCATGTTTTTTTTCCAGTTCATTGGTCTTTGATCACTTCTGGAGGGCACGGGTGGAGGAGTTCCGATAAAGTCTCCTATTAATGATATTCACCCCTAACCAGAGGCAAATCCATGACTGGGGCTCTCGGGTTCCCTATGGCTTTGATTTTGATCCCAGTGATTCATTAGCTGTTTAAATACATGCAGCTCTCTGCATATAATGACATGCTCCCTGCCTTTCACGTTAGCTCGTCCCACAGCATTGTACATCACTAATGACAGGCAGGAAGGGCAGGCAGGATCAATGTTGGTTCTATAGATAGATGAAGCAACGATCTATGACACCCCCGCAGCAGCCTGTAAGTGAGAAGAAGGCCTAGTTTAAAGCAGGGTCAGCTTTAGAGCAGTTGGAAATGAAATGAAATGAGTCAAGCGCTCTTGTTGTACTCACGATGAGTGTGCCTCAGATCTCTGGAGCACTGGTTATTGGGGAGGCCGGGCCGCATATGTTGCAGGAATTGTCTCCATATCGTCGTTGTCCTCTGTGTGATATTGATTGGTCACATTAGTGAGTCTGCAGATCAGCATTTTTTTGGTGGATGGGTGTCAGAAGAGGAGCAGGAGGAGGAGGTGGGCAGAGAGGAGTAGTAATTGGAAGTGAAGTGAAAAACAAAAAGAAATGATTTCGAGACAAACAGTGACTGAGTGTGTGTATGTACGCATGGGCTTTTGGCTAACATGCTAACATTGATTTAACGTGCCACAGCTGATTAAAGACGACCTATTGTTCTCACCTTCATCCTCTTTGTTTACATGTTTGTTTACAGTCTATTAACTCTTATTCTTTCCCAGCACGATGTGGATAAACGTCAATAGTCGACAAATACCGTTGAGCCTCTCACATGACGTGCGTGTTTGCGGATGGCTTGGATACCGATATTTCCACTCGGTGTGTCCAAGGTGCTTCAAGGAGCCACATAATCTCCAATTTAGTCACAACATGTAATCCTCATATCAACAATTCGTTGTTCCGACTGACCTTCACTGCCTCTGGTGTTGTGGCGTAACAGTAGCACTGCTTTCACATCAGTCCCTGTTCTGGTCCCGGCGTCGTTTCTACTCTGAGGGCTGAAATGTTTTGTTCTGAATAATTTATCCCACTTAAAAGCTATCTCAGAACCTCAAAGTCTGGAGTTAAATTTGGCTTAAAAGCGTTACAATTCTCTCAAGTGTACAATTCACTCTTGTACTTTTTTTTTTCTTAATAGTTATTTTTATTTCTTGGCTCGGGTCGGTGCAGTAGGACCAAAACTGTGTCCGATGTGAGTGAACACCCAGTCCATGTGTTGATCATGAAGAGTAAACAGCCATAATTTATGACTTTACTATTCATCACATGACAGCAGCAGCATCAGCACCAGCCATAGAATAAATTCTCACTTGCTTAGTGTTTGGTCTCTCTCTCTCTCTCTCTCTCTCTCTATGTCTCCCCTCTCTCTTTCCCCTCTGTTTCCATGGCAACACGTGTATTTTACCCTGGATGTGGGGGGTTATGTTGATAATGCACATGGGTTAAATACAGGATCAGGTGAATTATGGTTTGTTTTTCTTTTTAATTGAAGGGCATAGAGAAATGTTAACAGCATATAAGGAACTGAATATTTCTATATTTGTTTTAGTGCTTCTAGTAAAAAACAGGTTTTCGTTGCCTATAGAAATGCACTCTGGTCTGTGTATGAACAGGTTTTCATTGACTATAGAAATGCACTCTGGTCTGTGTATAATAAATATTATATAAATAAACAACTACAAACTGTGCTCGTTCGAAGTAATGCCGTGTGTTCTACATCTACCTTACTCATTTTCAGTGTCAGTAAACACTGGAGTAATATATACGTATACTGTAGTTTGGGACTCGAAGTACTCTTAGTTAATAATAAACATAAGGGCATTCGAAGCAGATATTTTTCTTTATTTTAGAGACGTTTACTCCACCATGTGGACATCTTTGGTATCGCATAACATACCTCCATGGTGAATGATTCACAATGCCGTTTAATACTTGTATTCATTTCTTTGTTTTATTATTTGGATCTGTATTAGTAAAAAGCAATACAAAGCATACCAGTATATAGTGCCACGCCACTTCTTCTTACAGTCTTTTCCATTTTATCTGATGTTTTTCTATTAATCATTTATACGAGGGTGACAGAGTGAACCGTAAAAGTTTTATTTGCTCTGCTTGTTGTTTTTGTAGTACCTGGTATAGCCACTAGTGGCGCTCTTGAGCTACTGAATCGATAACTAGAACGTCGATGCCCCTCTGTGGTCGATCCAAGTGTGAAATGGATAAATGAGAGATCTTGCCCAGCAGGGGGCAGAGTTGAACCGTGGTTCGTAACACCTTCTTCTTCCCCTGCTCAGTCCTAGTCTCCATTTTAACTCGCTGCCATGGGACAGGATGGGAAGTTTTAATATCCCATAGCTAACTCACCCACATATGTTCATACTTTTTCATATTACAAACATATGTTTGAAGGAGAGGCGGGGAGGGAAACAGAGCGGGAGACGGGTTGGTTAAGTAGAATCAGATAAAAACAGACGTGTAAATACCCAGCCTCTGATTTCATGTAAATAACCACATAAATGAAACATGTGGATTTGATGTGTGTATTTCACTGCGTCAGAGTGAAACTTTTGACAGATCTGCTGACTTCTGCGCTACTGTGGTTGACTGTCACCTCAGAGGCGACATGGACGCCAGAAACTTTGATTAATTTATGTTTACATTCCACAGCATCTATACTGAAGGGGACAGAGCTCTGAATGCAGCATCAGGGAAATACAACTGCATTATTATTGCCCTAACACAAAGTAAACGTGTATATTATGGTTTCAAAAAACATAGTTTAATGGTATTTTTAAGCACATAAATACTGTGCGATTTCAGCAGCTTAACGTGACCAAAAAGAACTGAACTACAAACGGTAGAGATGTGTGAACTGGCAGTTCAGACTGGAGAGGAGGATAAATACACGCTGAACTAATATTTTGTTCTTGTTGATAAAACAGAAATGGGAGACATGGACTCCCTCAGCTCAGCTGCACATGTTTACAGGAAGGTGTTGGTGTCTCAGCCTGGAATAGTTCACTGGGAAAGGGAGTGGGGCTGGAGTGAAGTGTCCGACCGATCAGTCAGGTGATGGGGATTTTGTCATCCACGGGTCAGTGACTTTTCTCTGTTCCTGCCAAAGGCCTGACAAAAACACACATTCCCTGTTCTTTAATCTTCTATAGCCAACGTGCTACATCTATCATCTGAGAATTAATCTGCCTGCTGCTGCACTGAAAAATCAATGCAGCTGGCGCTCTCTTCAGAATCGTGTTTAAGTTTTAAATTTGTCAGAGAATCCATGATAGTTGGGAACTTCAGAACACACTCTGCTGCTGGCTCCCAGTCAGTGGAAGCTCTCTCACAGGCTCAGGGACTCTGCCAACAGATTGTCCTCTTGCGTCTGTATCCACTGTTATTTCTCTCGCTTGTTTTCTTTTAATAAAGATCACTGGCCTCCTTAATCTTGGAGCAGACTGGCTGGCATGGGAGTGCATGGAGCTGAGAGGCTGGTGAGGGAGAACGGTCGCTGATGCTGCAGCTGGTAGACAAACAGGGCAGAGTG